CGGCATCTGATTAGGGTGACTATGTCCTGACTGTCAGCTTCACTGTGAACAACCGAGTTCAACATTATGAATGTCTTTCAGGAGAGATTATCTCAAAATGTGCATTCATTCATTCATTTTTCATAACCGCTTATCCTTTGGGGGTTGCAGGTGGGCTGAAACCTATCCCAGCTGACACTGGGCAAGACGTGGGCAACAACCTTAACAGGTTGCCATACTATCGCAGGGCCAACATATAGAGACAGACAACCATTCACACTCACATTCACACCTACGGGCAATTTAGAGTCACCAGTTAACCTAATCTGCATGTCTTTGGACTGTGGGAGGAAGCTGGAGTACCCGGAGAAAACCCACGCTGACATGGGGAGAACATGCAAACTCTGCACCAACCCTCTTGCTGTGAGGTGACAATGCTAACTAATGCACCACCGTGCCGCCAATGTGTACAATTAACTAAATCATTTCATGTCTTCTTCTCCCTCCCTCTTTTCAGTCCACCATCAAATGTAGATCTTCAGAATGACCATAAAAACTCTTCATTGCCAACATGGGCGGACAACATGTTGTGCAACCCACTTTTCTACTATAAAGTGGCGTCAATGAGTACTGTTGCCCTAGTTTTGTGGTGTGTCCCACACCATTAGCACTCGTCATCCCTTTGTTGCCTGTTTTTCCAACTGATTCAGCATGTTGATCGGTGGTGAAGATGGTGGTGCCTGTCAGTGAATGAAATCACTCTGATTGGCAGTTCAGCTCAGTGAACGAGAAGAGAAATGGAAGTGGGGAAAGTAAACAAATGACTAAAGTTAAGAGGGTGTGAGATAAAAACAAACCTGTTATTTGAGATAAAAAATTTTTTTACCAATTGTGTACTTTAGCAGAAACAGTTACTAATTGTTTGTGTTACAGTTTGCTAGCGCATGATCTATATCATTTATTCTTTAAACATCAGATTGTGTTGTTAATGTGCTAACTAGCGAACTAAAATCTTGAATCCGTCCTAACAGTCTTCTGGTTTCCCTTTAAACATGATGAATACAGAAACTACCACCTGCTGGTATGTAGAGTTACTTCCTGTCATGCAGGCGCAGACCTTATGTCATTATGGTGTGTTCAAGTGCAACTTTCTTGCAGACACAGGAGACTTAAGGCGATGATCATCGCCACTAGATTTTTGATTTCAGTTGTGATTTCAGATCTGTACTAGAGTCATGTTTATTTGAGTAAACCAGTCATAAAAAAAGCTTTACAGGCCTGAATTGTATGAATATTTGACTGCCCTCTTAGAGGATAAGTGCAGGAAAATGTTGATTAAATCCTGCCATTACAAAAGGAACACCGGGTACAAAACCAAAAAAAGTTTGGAAAATGTTTTGAAAGCTTGGAAATCCCACATCACTCACTATCTGATGAGCCAATAGTCATTGGCTACATTGGAATCCATGTATATTTAGATTTCTTGCACAATTTCCAGAGTATCTACACTGTTTCTTTTTCCGATAATGAACATGGGTATGAATGACGTATCAACTGTCAACGTTTGTGTAATGCATTCATCAAGCAGATCAAGCATGACGCAGCTCTGAACTCTCATTAACTGCTGACCAGTCAGATAAGATGCAGCTCTGGAGTGTTCTTGGGAGCGGCCCTTTGACCTTTGAGCCACTGTCTTGTGTAACCTTTGCATGTTTAAAGGGTGTATATCCAGTAACTACTATAGCAAATGATTTGAGTTTTTTGTCCAGTTAGACTTTAGCAAGTAAGGACAGGTATGAACTTTCAATACTTTTTGGTACTGATCTTCACCTGGCAGTTAGGGTTATCATTACTTCTTCTTAAATCTGGGGCGGCAGTAGGTCAGTCCATAGGGACTTGGGTTGGGAACCGGAGGGTCGCCTGTTCGAGTCCCCGTCCGGACCAAATATGGAGCGTGGACTGGTGGCTGGAGAGGTGCCAGTTCACCTCCTGAGCACTGCCCTTGAGCAAGGCACCAAACCCCCCCAACCGCTCCGGGCACCTGACCAAGGCAGCCCCCTCACTCTGACATCTCTCCACTCTGTGCATGTATAGGTCCTGTTTGTGCATGTGTGTGTCTTTCAGACTTGTGTGTTAATGACAAAAAGAGTGAAATTAATAAAGCATATAAAAACATATAAAATTGAAAAAAAAAAAAAAAAATCGGATTGTTCTTGTTTTAGTAGTTCCTGGATAACAGGATAAGTGATTACAGAAATGAATAAGTGATTACTTATTCATTTCTGTAATCACTTATCCTGTTAGGGGTCACATGGGGGGGCTGCAGCCTATCCCTGCTGACATTGGGCAAAAGATGGGGTACACCCTGGACAGGTCACCAGACTATGACAGGGAGACAGACAACCATTCACACTCACAGTCACACCTACGGCCAATGTAGAGTCACCAATTAACCTGCATGTCTTTGGACTGTGGAGGAAGCCGGAGTACTCGGAGAAAAACCCACACTGACACAGGGAGAACATACACACTCCATACACAGGGGTTCCCCCATCCCAACTTTTGCTGAAACAATAAGACACTCAATCAAACAGACACATGAACACACCACTTGTTTACCTCGTAACATTTCTAATGAAAAATAAAATAAGTAACATCACCATATCTTTCCAGAATTCGTGTGTTTCTATGTCTTTGCATTGTATCCATCGTCTCATCAGCACCTGAAGCAACACGCCCCCGCCAACTCAGCCTCTTGCTTTTTTAAAAGGCTATTTTCAGTCTCAGTGCCCGCCACGCCAAGTCCATTAAACCTCTTACCACATTTAACATAACATCTGGGTATGGTCAGTTGTACTGTGACCACACCCAGCTATGATGTAGGCTGGTGCTATGGTGCCACACAACATCGCTGCTGCACAGGCTGAGGAAAAGGCATGTTGTCACAAGTAGTTCAAAGGAAAGGCCAGATGTAGGCTTTATTTCAGAGTAACTGGGATTGAAACTGAGGTACTCCATCAGCAGCAGTATCAAAGCCTTTTAAATGATACTCTGCCCTATTAGAGAAACGTGAAAATACTAAAAAGTAGGTATTTTCATACAAAATTTTTTACTAATTAGAATGTGACGTGAGAAATGGATGAAAAACTCAAAAATCAAAAGGAGCACATCTTCATGTTTAAGTATTTTGTCAGACAAACAAAAACCGAAATCCAAAAGTTCTCAAATTACAGCAATATGAACCAGAGAAAGGCAGCAAGTCCTCAAATTTGAGAAGCTGAAATCAGTGAATGGTTGGCATTTTAGCTTGACAAATTACTGAAACGATTCATCGATCACAGCAATGTTGTTTTCCATCGATCACAGCCCTACAACAAGGACCATCAGGTCACTATTGAGCATCTGCATGAGTGCTCTCAGAGTTTTACTACATGTCTGAGGCAATCAGCAGCATGTGAAGCCCACAAACCGAACTTGCTCACGTTATGAAAGACAAACCAGTGCATCCGCCTGAAAGCAACGTTGACCAACTTGCTCCGTAAACAGCGGCCACAATCACAGAGAGATGAGGAGGTACCACGGGCTGCAAACCGCTACTGAAGCGTAACTCAATAATTGCCCTGGCACACTCTCTGAGGCGCAGCTCGGCCTTATCTTCAGGGCAGCCTGCCATCTCTGCCAATCACAGTGAGTGGAGGGGGGCCTGGCGGTGGGGGGGAGAAGAGAGGAACTTCCTTCCGAATCCATTCATGCCATTGAGGCCACCTGCTGTGCCTGTCAATGGGCAGAGTGAAGCTGCGAGAGAGAAAGGGCCATCTTCAAGCTATAAAATAGAAGAGCTCTTCTTGTTCTCTGTGCTCACATCGCCGACTGAGGATATCTGAAATCTGAGGAATCGTTTTTTGTCGCCAGAAAACCAAACACTTGTTCAGTTTGCTAACATGTGAGTGTTTCGAGTTGAGACTGTGACCTTTCTGCTGTGGCACAAAAGCTTGGAAGCTTTTAATCAGCAAACTGTAATGACACTGTAGAGTCTCATTCGTGCCATGAGGACACTCGAGGAGTATGCGAGGATCCTTCATGCCTCCAGTTTAACTCAAGTCCCTGAAGCTTGGCCAGCACCACCTGTTAGCGCTCCTCACTCCTCTGCCAACAGGCCTCTTCTTTCCAGCTGTGTGTGTGTGTGTGTGTGTGTGTGTGTGGGAGACATGACTGTCCAGCCAACTGGGTCTGTACTAACAGAGGGATTACCATGGAGGAGGATTACTGTGGCACCGGAGTATATAAGCACCCACAACAGACACATGCACAATCAGGGGCAGCGACTGTATAACACACACACACACACACACACACACACACAACATTACAGCAGCATTCCTGTACTTCATATCTTCTTACACACTTTAATTTTGTGGTGTGTGCAAATCTGAAAAGTACAGTTGCACGACCACAAGAAAAGCGTGCAAGAACAGACTCGGGCTGTGCTGCAAAAGGCTTAAATTAGAGAGGTTTTGTCATTTAGGAAACTCTGTTGTAAGAGTGTGTCTTGCAATAAAGGCCTGGAACAGCTGAGGCCTGCAGCAGCTGATGTGTGTGAGGAGATAGAGACTGGGTGAGGCAGAAAGGAAAGGTTGGTGGGTAGGTGGTTGATCTTTGTTGTGTGAAAGGAACTAAACACTCACATAAGAAATAGGATACACAAGTTACTGGACTGATTTGTTATTGGGTGTATTTGATGGTCAAAACAATGCAAATGCAGCAATTGCATTGTCCCAGGATGGTTTTGGGAGTCTTTTCCTCATTGTCTTCCTCTCCCATCGATTAATACAAGCAAGTAACCCTTAAACTCAACTCCAGAATCAGAATAAACACTAACAAATACTTTAATAAAAGTGCAACACACCGAGGAAACTCTCTAGGTCTCTTTCCCTAACTTTCTCCAAGTGTCACAGCACTACCAGGCCCTGCTCTCACTTCGCACACATAACGTGACTTTCTTTAAAACGAGCACTACTTACCTTATAAGCGACCTTTGCAGAGTAATACTTCGGCTACATGCGTCCTGTGAGCTTTCCTTTTATTTCCTCCACGTTTTTTATCTCACGTCAACAGCCCAAAGAAGTGGAAACAGCCGACACCAGCTCAAATCTCTAACGTGGAATCTCAGTCTTCCGTCTGTCCCATACCGACTGACTACTTCACCAGACCAAAGTCCTCCGCTGGGATCCTTTATATTCCTTAAAAACGAGGACACACCGCCGCCACACAAAGCCTAGTTAATATGGCGGAGTGAGAGCCAGGCAGAAGTGTTAAAATATCCAGAAATCACCGCCTGCTGATGGGTCAGGGTCGCCCTGAAAGACACACAACAATAGCCGGACTAGTACCGAGGAGCCGACGAGGCCAAAGAAGGAATAATGCTGCGTTCAGGGGCTCAAATTTGACTCGGACAGCTGAGTTTCCTAACTTAAGTTGATTTATTCTATTTTATTTTTGTCGTCTTTTCTTTTCTGTTCTTTTTATTTGATTTGATGTTATTTTACTTACTTATGTTGTTATTTCATTATTTTATTTTTATTCTATTTTGTTTTACATTTTATTTTAATTTTGTTATTTGGTTTGAGTTGATGTTATTTTATTTCATTTTAATTTTGATATTTGATTTGAGGTTAATTTTCTTATGTTATTTTATTTTTTCCATTTCATTTAATTTTTTAAAAATTGATTTTATTTCATTTCATTTTAATTTTGATACTTGATTTGAGGTTAATTTTCTTTGTTATTTTATTTTTTCCATTTCATTTAGTTTTTAAAATGTTATTTTATTTCATTTTATTATAATTATGTTATTTGATTTGATGTTATTTAATAATTTAATTTGAAAGGGACGATGCAATTTGAAATAGTTCCAATACAGAGTATGTGACTGATGTGTCGCACAGAGAGTTTATAGCTAATGCTAATTTCAACTCTTGTCCCTAGTTGGGCTTTTACATGTAGACCTAAAAGATCACCTCCATATGAAGGTCCAGACCTCCAGTTTTGGAACCACTAAAAATAAATTGTTTCACTAAAAATAACAGTATGTCTTTTGTCGTTGAGGCTGTCCTCTTGAAGTTAGGGCTGCAATTTATTAATATTAATATTTTCATTATAAATCTGCCAGTCAGTATCTTGATAAATGGTTAAAAAAGTGGAAAATTATTGTGAAATGCTTGTTTTGTATGAACAAAAACCCAAAGGTATGTAATTTGCAATAACATTAAACAAAGAAAGCAGCACATTAGAGAGGACAGAAATATGTAATTGTGAAAATGTTCTTGATTTAAAACACTCATCATTTCAGCATTGAATTACTTTACATATAGATACTTTGTAGTGCAGTGCATAGTGACAAAAACATCAGGTCTACACCTTTAAAACTATGTTTTCAAAAACAGATTTGCCTAAAATTGTTGATTAACAGTCACTTTTTTTCTTGCTCTGTTGTTTAGTTCACCTAGGCTGATGCTGCTATGTTCTATTATTTTCGATAACAATTGAACGTCGCATCGTGTCCTATTGAATGGTTTTCCCTTGTGCCCAATATGGCCGACATCAGTGGCTCACACTGAGGACAAAATCCACCATCTGGCTGTCTGACCAACAGATACAACTGCAGCTCTAGATTAAATAAAATTCACTGCACCCAGTCGTGTCAAACTGTTTTTAAACTGTGTAATTTAGACATAAATAACGACCTTGTATCGCACTGTTTAACCTTTGAACCTTATTCGCAATGAGCAGGTATCTGGCGCCCCCTAGGTTGTGTCAGCGCATAAGTGGTACTGCATATTTACTTGTACATTAAATACAGGCCTGCAGCTGACACATGATGTATAATAGTTCATTTAAGTTCTTGTGGTATCAGTCCCAGGACATTTCCAGAGGGTAATAAAGTGGGCACAGGCCTACATTACTGCTGAAGACATTTATATGTTAATAACTAATATATATGAGACCTTGTGCTGAGATTTTTTTAAGTGATTCTGAAGTGATTTGCTGACCCCTACTGACTTTGACTGCACTGTGCGCAGGCGGCTCTGCAAGTTTCCCCAGGGGGACGCCTCCTAAAAAGCAGCCAGTGTGGGAAACAAGATGTACTCAACACACACACACACACACACACACAGCTACAGCACTGAGCTAAAAAAAAAAAAAGAGCACAGTCTCCTTTTGTCTTGAGCTCAAAACAAGGAACAACCAAAAAACCCAGATCAGAGGATGACTGATTAATTTAATGAAAAACAGATGTCTAAAACATAAGCATACATTGTAAGGAAATACATATTACATTATGTATTGTTTTCCACTTTATTTGTTTTTGTTTTGATGAAGGCATTTAAATCGTCTTTACCATATGATAAATGAGACAGGAAAGGGGAAAAAGTGCTTCACCACAAAATTTTATATATTTTTCTCTGATTTATTTCTAATACTGATAGTGTCACCTCATCATTTCTTTTAATGAAACACTCTGAGATGTTTAGAGGTGCACAAATCACAACTCAGACATACCACCTGAAACAAGAGGTCGTACCACTGCTTCATTTTAATGGGTCACAACCAAAAAGGGTTTGAACCACTGACATTTAAGAACAATATGCTGTATGCTGTAGCTATTTTTAACATTTATGACAACTGTACAGGGGTCAAATCTTTATATAACTCACCAGTTTTACATTCGATTAAGTCTTAAGGTTCCATTAAGTTGGGGAGGGGCTGCTTGAGTAACGGCTGGCTGTCTGCATGGCGTCGTTAAATCCTATGAGTCAGATCAATCACATGCTTATCCATAGCTTCACCCTCTCTTTCATGTATGGTCCCTTCTGGCTCCAAATAAATAAATAAATAAATGGTCACGGTTAAATGGTAACATAGTAGCAACATTCATTATTTTATGAAGTCTCTGGTTTAAATCAGTAAATATTTTAGGTTACGTGGCTGTTTTTTGCAATGGTTGTGTGCAACAGTAAATACAATGTTTATTAATTAATTAATTAATTAATTTTTTTAAAAGGGTTAATAATTGTGATCAAAATAAAATATGGTTATCATTGCTTATACCTAAATAACATTTATAATTGCTTGCCTCCATCCCCACACACACTTATGGGTAGCCCTGTCTTCCTGCCTCTATTAGGAGTTCATCTCTTTTCTTTAGCCTTTCACTTATCATCATGACTGACCACACTAGCACATAGCCCTGGCTATTATTTGCTCAGTCACTGAAATCAACAGGCGTTTATTAGGGACAGGCCTTTAATTCCTTTTATGCAAAAATGTTGCCCAACAAAGATCAGGAAATACAATTAAATTGTTTATTTAAACCATTATGAATATTACTTGTATAAAAATCAGGCTTCACATGAATGACAAATAGTTCATTTGAACTAAATGAACATTGAACTATGGGAAATTGGCGATGCAGATGGTGAGGTGGAAGCCTGATTGTAGAAATTGTTGAATATTTTTCAGCACGCGCCATTTTTGGCTTTTGTCCGTACGTACATTTCTAGTATGGATCCTACGCACTGTTTTATAAATGAGACCCCAGGCCTCTAATTGAGACAGGCCTTTATTTGTCAAAACATGTAGCCACACCAGGCTAGTAAAAGGGACAGGGTATTTAATTGGGACTAGGCTGTAATTTGAGTTTTACTATATTTAGTTGTTGCAGTGCTGTTTCTGTTGTGATTTTATTGAGACATTTTATGCTTTTTTTCACATGCTATTTCTTAAGTCTGAGGCTTATTTATTTATTTTTTATTTTTATGTGTTTGATGGTTTGCTTTGTTTTGTTTTAGCTTCTTCTTTTTAGTCCTTCCTTCTCTCTATTATTGTTTCATTGTGTTACATGATGTAATATTGCCTTTTATGCACCATGAAGCAGATCCTAACCTATCTGCCTCGACTGAAGAGCACAATGGCTCCACTCCTGTTGCTTTTAGTTAGTTAGTAACAGTTTCTTTAGAACATGTAAATAGCAAATAAACAAAACAGTCACACAGTGGTAGACATACTGTACATAAAGAAAAAGACGTTACTAAAGGAGACATGAAAACTGAAAACATCATATGATTTTATTTACATGTCAAAAAAGAAGTGGGAGGAGCTTATTTATTCCCACCCCTTCTCCATAAATTAATAATAGTCAATAATGTAGCTCCCCATCAGTATAAAGCTGTACAATAATTAATTCTCCTAGACCTATTCTAATATATTAAATGAATTACAAAAAATATTTGTCTCACGGCATGATACAAATAATTACAAAATACTATAAATTCATATAGCTATACCTTATTTATAAAAAAAATCTCATCTTTATATCCTTATCCAATCATGACAGATGTGTTTGCTTTGTCAAACTATGAACACATACACAAGCTATGCACATATACACAAACTATGTACTATATACAAACAAACTATGTTTATACACACAAACTATGTACATACGCACAAACCATATATTTTTCCACAAACTATGTATATACACAAACTATGTATACACACAAATTATGTATATACACAAGCTGTGTATATATACACAAACTATGCATATATACACAAGCTGTGTATATACACACAAACTATGCATATATACACAAGCTGTGTATATACACACAAACTATGTATATATACACAAACTATGTACAGTACAGGCCAAAAGTTTGGACACACCTTCTCATTCAATGCGTTTTCTATATTTTCATGACTATTTACATTGTAGATTCTCACTGAAGGCATCAAAACTATGAATGAACACATGTGGAGTTATGTACTTAACAAAAAAAGGTGAAATAACTGAAAACATGTTTTATATTCTAGTTTCTTCAAAATAGCCACCCTTTGCTCTGATTACTGCTTTGCACACTCTTGGCATTCTCTCCATGAGCTTCAAGAGGTAGTCACATGAAATGGTTTTCCAACAGTCTTGAAGGAGTTCCCAGAGGTGTTTAGCACTTGTTGGCCCCTTTGCCTTCACTCTGCGGTCCAGCTCACCCCAAACCATCTAGATTGGGTTCAGGTCCGGTGACTGTGGAGGCCAGGTCATCTGCCGCAGCACTCCATCACTCTCCTTCTTGGTCAAATAGCCCTTACACAGCCTGGAGGTGTGTTTGGGGTCATTGTCCTGTTGAAAAATAAATGATCGTCCAACTAAACGCAAACCGGATGGGATGGCATGTCGCTGCAGGATGCTGTGGTAGCCATGCTGGTTCAGTGTGCCTTCAATTTTGAATAAATCCCCAACAGTGTCACCAGCAAAACACCCCCACACCATCACACCTCCTCCTCCATGCTTCACAGTGGGAACCAGGCATGTGGAATCCATCCGTTCACCTTTTCTGCGTCTCACAAAGACACGGCGGTT